GCGACTAATTCTGTTCTTTATTATGTCGTGGAAAGCAAAGAAGTAAATATCACGTGGATGCGGTTAAAAAAACTTACTGACGCACTACTGTAATTATCGTTATTAACTAACTAATTATTTGTCTAAAAGTCAATAAAGTGACAACGATGTTATATCAGTAAATATTTTACATACTTCAATAGAAAACAAATTGTGTGGAATATTATACTACTTTACAAAATTAAAGCATTTTTTACACGTTACAGCAAAAACTAAGTGCATAAACTCGTTGTGCCTCCTATGTAATTAACTTTGAATATACTCATTATGTTCGATTTATTATTCAGTTTATGTGCGTAAAATACTTACAAATAGAGTAGCCACTTCAAGAAATAGGAAACTTAAATCACTAACAAAATTGACTGTAATTAGAAGTTTGGTTGATTACATTTTATGAATCATTTTAGTGAATTTACGGTTAATAATGTGCACATTTTTCAGTTTTATCGTTATTAATTATGCTTTTTATTTTTAAATAATCTAAAAATTGAATACGATATGCCTTTTCTACGTTTTAACTAAAACTGCAAAACTAAGTGTTATGTCATTACTAATTACATGTTATTAACATTTTTGATTACAAAAAAAAACAACTTTTTTCCCAATTAAAAATAATAGCATAATATGCAGGCACGTCATGAGATTGAATTCACAGAAATTTAACTACAAGATTTGATATTGTAGGTCCTTAAGAATAAAGTAATAAATAATATAGCAACAAAAGTTTGAGTAATTGTTAATATTCTGAGCAAAAAAACTGAAGGGATCATTTTTGAGCTACCGTAACTTTCTTATTAAGCTCAATATATGTTTACTAAACCTTTATGATATTTTTTGTATACAGAATGGTATTTAAACAGAATGAAAGAGCCATTCCCAAACAGCTTAATTAAATTCATAATGCCCTTAAAAAGGAAAAAATAAATAAAAAAGCAATTAATTGTACGTCGTGCGTTTGACAGAACTCCGATTCAGATGAACTTACTTACTCCCGCGTCCTTAAATCTGATAAAAAATTACCAAAAAAATGAGTAGGTTTTTAATGAAAAAAGAATGTAAAGGCACAACAACGAAAACAACAGTGAAAATGAATCATTCAACTGTAAAATTCAATTAAAAGCACAAAGCTCGGAAACGAATGTAGGCGTTTTTCTTTTCCCGGGAAATATATGTTAGAGGAATTCTCTCTTTGCGTAACGAAAATATTTCTTGAAGGTAAATCTTCCACCAATCAGAATTTACGGTTGAAAGTATAAACTGTTCAGAAATAATCTACTGTTAATTAATACGGTATTTGAGTTTGTACTCAAAAACTCGGCCGATAAGTTTTAGCGTATAATTTTTTATTTAGCAGCGTAGCCTCTTAATATTAATCGTTTCTAACAACACATACAACAAAAATTACTGTTACACTATCAAGTCTTTCTCTCCTTTACTCTGCTGATACGAGTACTCGTCAAAATCACTCTCCAATGTTTTGAAGGTTGTTATGCACTTATCCAGAGTTTTTATTTACATAATAATTTAGAAAAAAATCAAGGACTGCTTGATTGATAACTATTTTAAATTTCTAAATATCAGCAATATTTTAATTTTTTAGTTTTGGTTCCATATAATTTTATTTTAAATATATACATTTTTATGACAATTTACAAAAAAGAAGGTTTAAAAAACTGTAGAAATATATTTTTGATCTACTTAGAGGAAAGGCGTAATTTCCATATTCAAAACAGTAAGAAATAAAAACTAATACAAACAAGTTATAAAAATATTTATGGCACAATCTAATCAATTATTTAAATTAATGTGCTCTTTTTTTAAGTGATATCTCTCTTGCTTCCCTCGTCCCAATTATGTTGCTGCTTTTTCTTCAATAACCTTTGCATAATTTATTTTTTTTTTTAGTTTCATTTTCTTTTTAATAGCTTCGATGAAAATCTTACTATGTCAGCCACTTTTAGAAATCTTGTAATAAGTTGTGGATTTCTTTCAGTGATATTTTCGCCAACAAACTGTGCAGTGCATTTCCCCGAAGTATAAAATAAAAAAAGCAACAGTGTTTGACGTTTTCTGGGCACAGAACAGAATATTTACGATAAACATCCAACAAAGTAGTACCACTCAAATGACCAGCTGTGACAATAAATGCATCTGAATTTAGTTCTAGTGTTCTGTTATCAACAAACATCCTTTGTCACTGATGATAATAAGATAATTATTCGTTTGAATATTCACTGTAGGTGAATCATTATCATTGCCACTACATTTTAAAATGAGCCGATCGAATGAAGCTTTCCAATCACTATATGATTTGATACTCAGAAGCATCTAGCAAACAAAAATGATGAAATGTTTCATTTAATTTCTCTATAAATACAGTTGTTTTCATTTTCCTTTTTAACTAGATACCGGTAGGTGTGGCCATCAAAAATTTATTTGTCGGCATAACACTTCTCTGCTTTCATAATTTCAAATAAATTACTTTAATTCAGTATTCACATTTTACTGTTCACACGCAAACTCACCACAAATCAACGGTTTTGTCGCTGCGGAAATTAATTATCCGAAAGCTTAATACGTAGCAGTTAATTCAATTTTTGATGTAAGACTAAAAAGAAGCATTTTTATCAACAAGCTGCAAATCAAAACGTTACTAGCGATTGTTTAATTTTACTTTTTCATTCATTAAAAGCACAATTAACCGTATTCTTTATTCATTGACTAACTTTATCGGATTAGGTCTCAATTTCAAATTGACTTTACGTTTCCACAAATTGAATTTGGCAAATAACGACATCAACAGCCGCAAATTGGCATTAATGTAACGACTTGAAACTTTAGTCATAATCAAGACAATTTCTGTTCGCCAAAAATAAAACACGTGTTATACCATATGGCACTGAATTTAGAACAAATTAAACGTCTCGACGTAAATTTATAAAAAGTGCATGCAAAATGTCAGAGTTGCCATATCTGGTTTTTGAATTATTTGACCAGGTCCATATATTTTCGTCCCACCCTGCTTATTTCTGTCTTTTTCTGATTAAGGTATTACCAATTAGTGAAATTTATTCGTTTAAAGTGAATTACCACCATCTAAATTTATTTTTACTTCTCGAGCGTAATTCTGTCTCTTAATGGTCCATCGTCTGTTTGTTAGAGATTTTATTAGATACTAACCAAAATTTGTTTGTTCATCCCTACCAATAATTTGATGACATCATAGCAAAATTTTACTAGGTAAATCTGATTTAAACTGTGTTATAAAACAATATGCGCTCTTAGAAAGTACAAAATTGCCTCTACTGAAATCTTACAAACGCATTCAAGTTACTAGGACATGGTAAATCCCTTACCAAAATTTATTTGTTTACCCGCGCCAAGAAATTGATGATTAAAATTTTACTAATTAAATCCTATTTAAAATTTGTAAAATATTATGTGTTTTTAGACTTGTGGTTTATCAAAGCTTCCATATCTTTTACGCTACATATATTGATTTTTGAAAAAAAAATTAATTATATGTACAACAAATTTTTACAATCGGGAAAAAATTTGTTTATCCAGCCTTATCAAAGGTGACCTTTGGGGATTTTAAAAAAAGTTCTACGACACAGCTGTGACGATTATCTGTACACATTTTCTACTGTATGAGTACTAAATGCCTGAAAAAAATCAACTCTTACATCAATAGTGATCCAGGTGAAAATGACCAAAATTAGGAAAATATAACGAAGTTTGAGTAGCCCACCATTGATAACTTGTTCAGATAAGGTACTAATATTTATTTTTGAATGCACACTTCTTAGGCAGGAAAATAAAATTACAATCATTTTATGCGTGTTATAGAAAAAAGTACAGTTTGAAAATGGCAGAACTTTCGATTTCTAAGGGGTGCCAATCGGAAGTGAAGCACCCAAAATCAAAAATCATGCCGCACATGTTTTTATTCAAATTTGGTGTTTTCATATGGAACGACCCAATAATAGTGTGAAATTCACGAAAATAAAATAAGCCGTTTTTGACTTAATTATAATAAAGAATTTGCATCATTCATTAATTTTTTTAGCTACTTTGTGTAAGATCGTTCACCCTACTCAAACATTTGATGTTTGGATCAATAAACAAGTTTCGGTTAACGCTTTATCATTTACACAATCTCAAAGTACATCTAAAATTTCGCAGTAATTAATTAGTGCAGTAAATTGGGAAATTATTTGTCTAATAAGATCATTTAGAGACAGATATCCTAAAATGTGTGCAAGCAGCACAAACAGTTAGGTAGACCGCACATCGTAGTAAACCAATTTTTATTTTGTTACTTTTACAACAGAAGGGTTTTCCACGTTAGAAGATTTTTCATTCCCTTCATTGTGACGAATTTTTAAAAAGTACCGCAAGTCGCTAAAGCTCGTGCAAGAAGTTTTTACCTAATAGAGCATAAATTTCGAAAATTTTTAATAGTCTTATTTAACAAAAACGTGAGTTCAAAAATGACATGTTACTCATTTATTCGAATACTCTACATTTCTATTTTTGTAATAGGTAAACGAGGTCGACTGATAAGTATTTTATATTGCTATTTCGATGCCTATCGACGTATTATCGCATAAACTAGATAAACAACACAATGCAGCTACAACTCACGAACGAATCAAACTACGGAATTTTCCCCTCCCGTTCGATATGACGCCACCGTCACTGGCGCCGCTTTTATACTTCATATCATACAAAATATAACGTCCCAGTAATAATAATTTGGAAATGTTCATGATGTTTAATTTCCTTGACCTAAATCCAAGATCACGTTGTTGATTTTTGACAATTATTAATTAATAAATTGGCAAATATAAATTGATTCACAGAAAAAAAAGAGTGTATTTATAACTAAAACGATATCCTTGTGACATTTAGTTTTTCGTGACAGAATCATAGGTTTGCCGATAAAATAAAAAACCGGGTGATGGGATAACCTTTTATTTGTTAACGTACAATCAAATTATTTTTGTTATGCAGATGTCTACGGGGTTATCCGCGTGGATGGGGGCGCAGCTAATTAAACCCAGTGGCGTAGCAGCCCGCAGTAACAGGGCACTGCTCGCTTCAAATCGAACGTGTAACCAAAAAGCGAAAAGTGAAAATTCCTATCATTGCGTGCACTAATAAAACGCAGTGGTGCAGCAACCCTAAGGGGCAAGGGCCAGCGGTGAGTGTCCCCGCTCCTGCTTCCAATCGAACGTGTAACCTACAAGCGAAAAGTCGAAAAGCGAAAATTCCTAACAAGGTGCAAAATAAATACTCCCATTGTGTTTACTTTCCATGAATTGATGTCAACAGAATATTTTCAAGGTCCGTGACGTCACCGTGCCACTTCTCGAATCCAGCATTAGCAACAGCGCAGTCTGAGTGCCCAAAATCCTCTAGCCCCCGAGTGCCAAGACCTCGCAATAATGCCAACCTAATTAAAACCCACGGCCGCCCATCCACGAAACCATCGCTCCCTGTCTATGTATGTTCCCACACGTCGAAACGAGGCACACTTAAGTTACGTTGAGATTGGTCAAGGTGGCCGTGACAGTCGCCTGTCCTCGACACGGCTCGGATAACCTCGGAAATGCAAACTTTCTCTTTCTAGGCGAAAATAGCCGGGAAAGTCGAAAATACCACCCCTCGCCTGCGCTCCCGCGCCCCCGCGCCCCCCGAACGACCGAAACGCTCGCTGTTTTCGAAAAATCCAGCGGATCGATGCTTTTCCGCGCGGGGTGGCGGCGGGAGGGGGGGGCTGTACGTTGGCCTCCAAAGCCCGCGCAAGGCGGCGAAGCACCGCGGCGTTTCGAGCGCTACACGTGGAGCGGGGGTTAACGGCCACTGCACAGATAGGATGTAATTTTTAACGAATTGCTCGATATCTCGAAATTTGTTGTTAAGATAGGTACAGTCGCTGCACTGTTTGGAGAGGTCACTACGCACAAGCTCGTATGATCGCCGGCTTTGTTTTCGCGGCGGAGGCGGCGCCCGCCTGCACCGGCCAATTTGTGGTGATAACCTGATAAGATAAAACGGCTCTCTCTAATGATATGAGTGTACTAACCGCGTGCACCTGCCGATTCGTGATAAGAGATCTATCTAATCGAGGGGGTGTACGAAATATTAACTGGATAAGAAGTTGCAGTGAAGATTATGACGACGCTTAGAAAGTTATGGTAGATATATGTAGTAACTTCCAACAAGTGGTTTTGTTCGAGATTGAAATGCTGACATGCCTGCCCCCAGTGGTGCTGCCGATCTACTTTCTAACCCCGATTCACGATTTATTCACGCCTACTTCATTTTATTAAAACAACATACCGAAGGGTATACATTAATTCATGAAATACTCCTTCGAGAATACATGAGAAAACTTACACGAGGAAACTTTCTTTTCCTATATATTTTAAAACCACATTATTTCCTTAAAAAAATAAACAAGTATTAAAATATGTTATTTAGTAAAATTAAATTGCGTTTACTCCCAAAATTTTGAGATGACGTTATCAAATCGTTGATGGGGATGATTAAATAAATTTTGTTCAGCGTTCTACCAATTATTCGCTCGTTCTGAAGAACAACTAGAAAGAATTTTACGACAGTCGGTGCAGTAGTTTGTATTTCCAGCATCATTGGACCATAGGCGAAAGACCGATTTTTTTCACACTCTAGATGTCATGAAATGATGAGAGAAGATGAAATTATCCGTTCGCCAAATGGACCTTATTACTGTATTTCTTCCTTAGCTTACTCTCTGTACACAGAATTTTTTACAAATGAGATATACCATTTCTGACGTACCTTCTTAATTAAAATTAATTGATTCATTAATTTTTTTTTTAACTTCCTATACCAAAAGTGTAAACAAAGTTGAATTTCGAAGGACAGTTTTTGACAAACATTTGACTGATACATTTTTGCGATCGCGTTATTAACTTTTTACAGGGGATGAATATTTTTTATCGTTGTTGTGTAATACATAATTAAAAATATTTTAGTGTATTCTAAGACAAAATATTTAACTTGCTTGCACAAATTTTATTTTTAACGATAACCCCTATATGTATAATTGAAAAAAGCATGCTATGCGTTTGTTTCAAGTGAGTTTTTCTTAACAAAATCTTCTGATGACGTTATCAATTTTTTAACAAGAATGCATGCATTTTTTAAACAAAAATGTGAACTTTTCTTGCATTTATATTGGCATAACGGAAGTAACTGTGTGACAGATAGGTCAATCGTGACGTGTAGTAAATTAAGGTTATATTTTAGATATATGTATTTGCAAATTAAAAATGTCAACAATCGGACAATCTTGACAGCTGACAACCGGAAATTATTGACTACAGCATGATACCAATTGCAACTAAAAATCCAGGTTTGCCAACAGACTCGGTCATTTCTGATCACGCGGTACAATTTTGATTTTTTTCCAAAAATCTGAATGTCTAGGGCAAAAAAGTGGTCGAAGGTTATTTCCTCAGAACTTCCTCCGCGCAAAACATATCTAGTTTTTTCGAAAAATAATTGAAGGTAAGGGAAGAAAAATGTTGCTGCCTCGGTGGGAATCGCACCTCACGTCACCCGCTTGCCGGGCAGGTACCCTGACCACTAGACAACGAGGCCGCTTATTTTTCTGCGCTTACCAACGTGCTATTGTGCCACCACATAACAAAATTTGATTTTACGAATTTTATTTTTTTTTATGAGTATATTTTATTTTTCCGGGATAACCCTCAGGTATAAGGTTAAGAAATATGGATACATTAATAACAAAGTTCAAGCAAGATTTACTTAGCACTTCGAAGGTGATTATTACTTAGATAAATATTCAACTGAAGTTAAGTGGTAAATCGGTTATATTCCCTATATCATTTGATGAATGATGGATGAATGAATACATCACTCAAATATGCGAATATCTGAATGTGTAAAACTAGTTTTAGATTAATTTGTTTTTGTAAAAGGAAACAAATCCATGACTAAACATCTGATATCTCATTGGTGTATGAAGATGTCGTCAACATTTGGTGCAGTGAAATACTAATAATAAAAGTATGGTATTCCCAAATTTTTGGGAAAATGGAGTGAGCCGTTCCTGATTTATTTAATAAAATAAATTAACTCATTCATTAATGTTTTTGAGTCATTCTATATAAGCAATTATAAAAAATATAAATGCAATGATAAATCACTAATGCCTATAGACTCATCATATTCTGTACATTTATAAATTTATATAGGATTTATTCGGTACAATTTTGAGATCATCAATTTTTGCTGGGGGACAAACAGATATATTTTGATTAAAAATTGATCATGCTTACTGCAACTCGTTTGTAAGTAAGCATCTGGATATCTCGGGCAAAACCTTAACACGGATTCATAAACTACCCGTGCCGTACTATATTATTTTATACAATTTATTTCCCACTTACTATGTACAATATTGAGGTGACGTCAACACATTGTTGGTGGGACGATTAGGTAAGTTTGGTTAGCGTTTTACCATCTACATGATATTCCAAATATACATGCAAAATTTAAAAACTATCGATCCAACTGTTTCGGAGATTGTATATCTAATAAAAATCGACGCAGACAGACGGACAGACAGACAGACGACGGACAGACAGACAGACGACAGACAGAGAGACAGACGGAAACGGGAGACCTCGTTTTTTATAATCTTGGGGTCATGAAACGTCGAAAAAACTGGCAAATTGCCCGATGGACTCGATTATTATACTTCCTTAGCTTATGCTCGAGAAGTAAAAAACAAAGCGGATTCATGAACCACAAGTATGGAAATATACAAAACTCACTTGACATACACTTTGTAAAACTTTTATGACTTAAGCGACTTAAACCAAGCCACCCATAAGTCAAACTGGCTATTGTAAGCTTTTTGGACCCGAATCGTAAGGATTATTACTGTCCATTGCTGCCATAATGAAGCTGTAAAGTTTTACTGTATATATGTGAATTGAGTGAAGTTGTATAATAGCCAGTTTGACTTACTTCACAAAATTTTGAGAAATTTTCGTATGAATGAACAGATGAATTCAAGCTGCCAAAATTTCAAAGCAATCGGTTCCTAAGTTATACTATAAAATAATAAATCGCCGGTACAGAAACAAATTAATTTCTACAATTTAAATAAGTACTTGGTAAAATTTTGAGAAATATCATCCAATTTTTGGTAGGTACACGATCTTTCTAAAGTACACGTAACTTAATATCAAAACACAAATCACCCTGTATCTCAGAACATATTTGTTTATAAACAGCTACTTAATAGATAAATATATATAATAAATTTTAGGCGATGTTCTGTAATCACTAATCAACATGTTTTCGTTTGCGATCCGGGTCGAAGGACTAAAGAATAAAATCACAAACATGACTACTAGACTTTTTGTATATAATAACCACCATGGATGACCAAAATGGCCAAATGATTACGAGTTACAAAACTGTACAATGTACGAGTACATACGAATATAAGGAGGGCTAGTGGATGGAGTCTTTCCTCTTTTTCGGGGATTTTTTTCATGTAACCAAATACACCAGATCATTTAGTGTGTCACCAAAATGTCAAATGGCTCCTTTATGTAGGTTATCAGACAAGAAAAACTAAAATATCATTTTAGATTTTTTTAACCAGTCTGGGTTGCTAACACCAAAACGTTATTCTATAATGGTTTGCCCTTCATCGATAAGGGATCGACGTCATATGTTCCTCCTTTATTTTTTACTTCGATTAAGCGTTTTGTTTGTTATGTGGTTGGTTATTGGTACCCTATTCTCCATATTATGTTTTTTCTTTGTTATTTGTTTTATTTTGATTCTCTAGTACTATTGGTACTTTGCCTATTTCCTTACCCCAAATCACGCTTTTCCGACTTCGAATACTTTGTAAAAACATTCGCTTTAAAATTTATTTTATCATCTTTCGTTTGTCTATGTCCCTAAATTAAGAGCTGGTATAGTAGTAGTACTAGAACCAATCCATGAGTTGTTTCCTTTTGTATACTTTCGTTCTGATTGGCTCACAGCTTTCCTATCTCCTTAGCTTGCGTTTTTCCAAAAGCCAGGTTGTGTTGTGGTAGATCAGGTGTATGAAAGTTCCATGACATTTTATTTTCGTCGAGTTTTCTCCTTATAAAGAGACTTTTTATCCTTGCTTTCCAATTCTTTCGAAGAAAACCTTGTATTGACTTGACCTGATGTGCCTACAATTTCCTGCTTCCGATTCAAGCCCTCTCCACCCATCCTATTTTCATTTACAAGTCTCCAAGTTTTAATTATTGTTACTTCGCTGTGAACTGAGATTATAGAGGAATCATGACGAGAGCTCAGACTGATGCGAGTAAATTCTTGGATCGCCAACACATTAGTCAACGTAACTAAGCGAGGTCATTCGCATTATTTACCTGGGAGAATGCATAAACCGTTACCATTATCACTTCAATTTTTCAGCAATTAAGATACAAATTTCACAGGCGTGCTTTACTTTACTTTCACTTATTTAGTGATTTCCCATCAAACTTGTAAATCTATTCCAAGGGTGGAGGTAACTCTTAAGTCGAATTTTCAGAACAATAAGTGTTATTCCAAGGGTGGAGGTAAGTCTTAAGTTGAATTTTCAGAACAATAAGCGTTAACGTATACTCCCGGCCTTGAAGTTCGCAGCCCAAGGTCCGCACGCTTATGGATTACCCGGTGGTGTCCGAATCCTGATTATAGCATAAGCTAAGGAAGTAATTGTTGTAGGGTCCACCCGACAAACGGCTAGTTTCATGTTTTCTCGATGTTTCATAATCCCCAGAGTATGAAAAAATAGATCTCCGATTTACGTCTGTCTGTTTCTCGCTTGTCGTATTAATCTATGTATATTTTTTAAATTAGACGGGTTATCATAATATGAATAAAATTTAATAATTTTTTTTTTGTGAAAACTTTTCTTAGTTTTCACATAAAACCGTCTTCACTTGGTTACCAACGACCTTATTAAC